CATTGTACTTGGAGTCATTCTGAACCTCTTATTTATGTGTTTGCTTTGTCTTTACAATGGTCTCTGTGATCCAAAGTAGTCCTGACTAGAAAGATCCCCTTATGCGTTTATTGATTTGTGATTGTGGCACTGAAGCTGGATTTGGGGGGAAATTTGGAATTCTGAGGAAGCTTATCAGAGGTGTTTTTTTTCCCAGTGAAAAGATCAGGAATGGAGGACAAACTTGTGGAAGAAAGCTTCCCACTGCTGGGAATGTTCTGCCACACTCATCTATGTGGTGTGCCTGCTTTAAACCTGTACCTAGGAACTACGCTGTCTTTCATCTGGGCTCTAGAGAATTCATGGGGCCTTGCTTTGGATTTTAAACGCCCCTATACCACCATGCTCAGCCCAGTATAAACTGCACTGGTATACCTATTGTAGAGTAAAAATGGGTGGATGGGGAGACATAGCTGGTTAATACAGATTTAAAATTATGTCTGTTTTGTCCCTTGGTACATTCATGTGAGGCAAAAAGGATATTCTGTAGGCCAGGTAAGTGCAACCTTTCAACAGGCCACAGAACCTTTTGCGGTGCAAAGGAATTCTTTGCAAGACAATATCAGCTCTGAAACATAAGGAACGGGTGTGTGTGACTGGGGAATGAGGACCAAGGACAACGGTGGTGGAAAGAGAACCAAGCCTTTATGCAGGCAAGGGTTGGACACTGGCAAGGTGTGCTAGCGGCAGAGGCAGCAGAAGCATCAAGAACAGGGATGGTCAAGGCATGGCTGAAGATACTGCAGGACAGGAGGCAGAAGTCAAGTCAGGTAAACAGTGTGGCCATCAAAAAGATGCACTTATGAGCAGGAAAGGGAAGCCTTTTATCGAACTTTTTGTGCCTCCAAGTTGGCCTGCTTTATCAGACTGGCAAACCCTGCAACTACTCACACGTCTGAAGCTCACCCTGCAAGCACTCACATGGCTGAGCAGACTGCTTGGAGGAGCTGCAGCATTATGCAGTCCAGGCTGATCCTAAGAAGGGCCTGTGAGGAATCCAGCAGGTGCTTGGCACAGGTCCACAATCTGGCCCTGGGGATTCTGGTTGGGTAGGTACCTGTGCTGGCACCAACTCACCAGGGTGCAAGTTGCTGGAGCTTGCACCACTTGCGCAACAATTGTAATTTGCTCAAAGTACAATTGAATGCAAAGCTGTCAATGATACAGAAGTCACAGCGGAGGCACAAGTTTTCAGCTGCTTATTTCTGCAACTTTCAAGAGTGGTTAAAAATGTGCACAAATCTGGTTTGTTGTAGAGACAGAAAGCTGTGGGCAAGGGGATTGCTTTTGATCATCAGAGGGCTGGATGTCTCTGTTCCAGTGCCTGGACCCTCATCTGAACTCTAACCCTTATACTCAGGTATAGTCCCTATATGTATAAAGGACAATATGTATAAGGGTAGCACTCAGGGGTTTCTTGCACAGGGACCCAGGTTTTCCTAACCCTGTCCCTAACCAGAAGCTTAAGTCCCACCCTAACACTCCTTTTCATCTGTCTGCATTCAGACAGCATGTGCAAATACAGCATTGAGGGTGCTCCTCCTTCCCAATTAAAGCTAGCACCAGGCTCATGGATGTGCACAAGGACCCAGGTTGTCCCGTTCTAACCCTAGCCTGCAGCTTAACCCCAACCTAAGATGCAAGTATAATCCATACACATTCAGAAACAATGCAAAGAGGCAGAAATCAGGATGATAATGGTGACTGCTCATTCTTATGAACTACCACAACTTTCAGGCCCTACTTTCAGGTAGGACTCTGGTTTTCCTACCCCTTACCATAACCTGAAGATTAATCCCAGCCCAAAGAAACAGGTGTAATTCCTATTCATTCAAACAACATGAACAAAGATGCTACTCAGGATGTTCTTGCTGACCACTCACTCTTTCTGAACCATCTAGGATATCTTCAGGCACCTGGAGATGCCAGGAGCTCAGGTTTTCCAAGGTAACCCATCTCCAACACTTGTGCTGATGCCAAATCACTGTGAAGCTGAGCCAGCTCATGGACTTCCATGTGTAGTACAGACTAAAATTGTCCATTTTCTAATCAGTAATGACATTTCTGCAAGTTCGACTTTGGCAAAATCAGTTGATTTGTGGAAATTGCCATTTATGCAAATCACAATTACACAAAAATAGACCAGTCTTGCACAAATCATCCTAGAGTCACATGAATTTTGTTGGTTGCTTATTTGCACAAATTCCACCAGTGGTTAAAAATGTGTAGCAAACACACTATTAGAAATGGAAATTTTCAAGGAAACCCAACTCCCCCAACCCAGCCTGCTTGTGGACATGGCTCAGAACTGGATATGAAATCCATAGAGTTTAAAATCATTGTATTCCCATTTCAGTACACAGAAACAGAGCAAGTCAGAAGGGGCCTCCTGGGCCATTTGGTCTGACCCCTGGCTCCATCCAGCTCTGCTCATGTAATCCCCTACATAACTACTAACAGGCAGGATGTTAGTGGAGCAGACTGAGAATAGTAGAGCAATATGTGCAAGCTGTACTATATGGAGAGGAGCACTAAAATCCTAGACAATCCCAAGACAACCTATATAAGTCCATACTTCTATAATTTGCATCTGCCTATGCTTTGGTATGAATCATGGTCTTCAGAGTTAGGGCTAGAAAATGTGCATTTTGTGTGGTTGCTCTAAAGAAAGTAAACATCAGCATGTGCAGCTAATTTTTGCATGACATCGTTCATAAATCTGTGAACTATGAATATAAAATTACTTGGATTGTAACAATGAAAGTCACCTATCCCTTGGAAAGAAAAATAAAGAGTAGCAGAATCACATTTGGGTAAGGCTTTTAACAAACTAAAAAGGAAGGCACAAATAATATAGAGAAATATTTAAAAACTAATGGCACTGAATGAAATGGAAATGGCATGATTATGTAGTCTCAATATTCTATAAATATGTTCATCCTAGGCTGAGAAGGAAGAGCACAGCTGTCTCAAATTTTATCTGCTTCTAAAGTGGCTTAGCTGTGTTTAGAGAAACAGATGTGTCTTGCAGAAGCTGTTCTCGCTACCTTCAAAATCTTAATTAAAAATGGGCTATGAGTCTTCTCAAAATTCATTTTCAGTTTAGTTTTACAGTATTACTTAACATGCAAGCAATTTTATAGTATCTTTCTTGTTCATCCCTCCACAGTCTTCTTAGGTAGAGAATTTCTATTCCAAGTTTACAGCAGCAACTGAAGTTGACTGACATATGCTGAATTTTCAAGTCTACAACTTCCTTCTTAGCTGAGCAGGAACTTGAAACCATGCATTATGGGCCAACAAATTTCTTTAATACTTTCACTGGGAGTTCTTCTGTAATGTGCAAGGAAGAAAATATAATATACTCTTCAAATCAAATTTCAAAGCAAGGTTCAAAATCAGCTGAGCAATTTCAGATAGTTCTGTATAGACAGGAAGTTCAGGTGAACAAAATGCGTAAGAATTACAGTTTTGAAAGGGACTGCCAAAGGATCACAGGTAAAGATACTGGTTATAATAAGCACATGGATTCAAATCCAACACTGCCTAAACAGTGTTACTACAGCAAAAATGTTTGCTACTGCAGCAAATATTCCCCATGTTTTCCTCTCCCATGCAGGTGCCCATATGCCTCTCAAAGAGGTTTGAGCTCCTGCGGGAGGGACAGGGTAGATGGGGAAATGCAGAGAGGAGGAAAGCATGCCCTGACAGCACCCTCCATCTCACTGGTAGATGATCAAGGTGAATGCAACTCAAATGTAGCTGCTCCAGTGGAATAATCAGAGGACAAGGCAACTTTCCAATGCAGCTTTAGATTAAAATCAAGGTATCAAAAGTCTGATGGTAAAATCCAAAACCCCTTTATTATTTTGCAATATTGGATTTTTTAAAAAATCTTACTGGCATAGCTTTTGAACAGAAGCCAAACGTAATGATTAACTAGTCTCTTTTCTGACATGCTGAGACATCAAGATCTCAAACATTTATCTTCTTCTTTTTTTGCAGCTTGATAAAATGGGTTATTGATTTGTAATCTTATTAACTTAAAACATATTTTTCATCATTGTAAAACCATCAGTGTTTGTATACCAACTGAGGGAAAGTTATTTATTAAACAATTAAGGAGTAATGTTGTACCCAGTACATAAATTAAAAGACCTTAGCTAAGCTTCAGGAAAGCAGCTTTTTTAATGGGCAGAAAGCCTGTATAGGATGCTGTTCTCATAGCTTTTTGATTATGGAATAATATGTCCTGAGCAAGCACGGGTTTGCACAAAACAAAGCAAGTATCAAATCAGCAATATATTATTTGCATCCTGTGATTTCTGTCTCTGAAACTTTCTATTAAAAAAGCAGCCTACTTTCCTGTTGTGTAAAGGTTAATGTTGAAGTACATAGAAACATAGAATCACAGAAACTGAGTGAGTCAGAAGGGACCTCCTGGGCCATCTAGTCTGACCCCTGGCTCTAGCCAGTTCCACTCATGACATGAGTACAGGCACTGTTCATGACAGTCTCCCTAGTCACATCTCCAAGGAGAATCTAGGTACCTGCACTGATTTTTCTGTGTTTGCTTTGTGTGTGTGTGGTATATCTCCCAGCAATATACTGTATCTGGAAAAAACTATTTTCCTCCTACCACCACCTACTTTGAACTTTGCAGCTAAGCTCAGAGAAACAGAGAAGTCTCAGTGGGGTGGAACATGAAGTCCCAGCATGTGATCCGCTTGTGATCCTCAGCCACTACATTACTGATAATAAAACAGCTAATTAGATCAAATACTGACATTTGTAAAATGTGAGGCCCGGATCAAATACTGACATTTTGTAAAATGTGAGGCCCAGATTCTAACCATATGGTGTGTTTCTAATTCTCTCATATTTCATTAACTGTGGCATTCCCATACCTGAAACCTGTGACAATTTAGAAGTCCATCTATTCATTCTTGATTATTCCTTACCCTGATCCCAAGTTCCACGTTTTCACCTCCGTAGACTTCCATGCCTTCATCTAGTAGGCCGATTTCTTGGAAATACTCCCGGTCAACTATGAAGCATCCAATCAGTGCAGGACTCCTAGATGAAAACCAAGAAAGAACAGCAAATATTAAGACACATGAATTTAGGTAGCAGCGTGAATTTCATGTATGCATAATTTCAGGCAAGTTCACCATTCAAAAATTCTTAATATCTGTAACTTATTGTGCAGATATTAATATATCTTAATATCTCTGTAACTTATTCATTGCCAAGTGTGATCATGCATTCTCTATAAAGCCATGTGATAAATCCAAAGTATGGTGGTTCCATCACTTATGGGACAGAACCATTCATTTCACTGTATATTCCACCATGCAGTGACTTCAAATACTGTCATGAAACGAGGAGGCCGAAGGCTCAGGAACTGCATCTTGTGGCCCTACTTGTGGCACCCATCTAGTTCAGAAGAACATCTGAACTGGCTGAGAATGGGCCACACGGTATTTATGGAGCAGTTAAGAATAGAATAATTAATCTGCCTTTTACCCTAGTTTGTACTTTGTCATGCAAGCTGGCAAATAGAAAGATGTCACTTTTGTCATTATGTGAGCAAAGGAAGAGCACTGTTGACAACAGGATACTAATTAAAGGAGACAGGGGGTTGTTACAATAGAGGAGAAACCATTTTTCATTCACCAGGACAATCATAATCAAGCTGTGATAAACTGAGGCATCTGTTCCTGATGAGATTATACGTTTCCTAAAATCACAGACCCTAAAATCTCCCCTGCCTTATAGATTGGGATCTCTGCAATGATAATCAAATGTCAGCTCGGAACTAGGGAAGCTATGTGATGAAGAAAATGTCATGCATTCCTTATGTTGCTTCAAACATTGTGCTTCAAAACATTAGTGCTATGCACGGCAAAAGTACATCCTGCGCTTTGGTCACAGCACTGATAGATTTCCAGGAACAACTTTAGTCCTGTTGTTAACTTGCATATTTTCACCCCTACCCTACTTTAAACTGTAGTTGGAACCTTGAAATTATGGCCTTCTATTTCAGTCATGATGATGCATCTACTGAAGTTGAAAATGCATCACTGTGGGCTGCACATCACATGGCATCAGCTAAGTGACCCTCCTCTCCACCCATATTGAGGAACTAGGAATAGCCCTGCGGGACTGGACCAAGAACCCACCTAGTCCAGCATCCTGTTTCCCAAAGAGGCCAACCAGATGCTCATGGGGAGCATATAAGTAGGACATGGGTTGGTTCTTCCTCAGCAACTGCAATTCAGAGACAAGTTGTCCTTGCTCCTCAGGGCTTTTATTTATGCATGGATTCATTATATCTTTAATCTGCCCAAGAATGAGTAGTCTGTGGCCAAACTGTAAATGCTGGAAGAATAAAACACTATAAAATGACTCTACTAACCACTGATAGCCTGATGCTCATTACCCTTAGGAATTGGCCTACCCATTTTAAACTGATCTCTAAGGAAATGACTCCCCTGTGAAATCTTGCAGAGCAGCTACTGGTCAGTGCCAACACTAATCTAGATGGACCAATGAACCTGTTCCTTGCTTATTTCAGAGATATAGATGACAACACTAGAAAAGTGTTGTTGTTGTTTTTAAACTTAATTTATCTCATTTAAAAACAAGTAAGTCCCTATCATCAAGTGCCTCCAAAATGGAAGCAAATGCTTGCTGCTCTGCTGCAACTACATACAGACACTCCAAGTGTGGGTTTCCTCCTATTTCACTGCACTAGAAGCGTGGATGCTACTGTCTTTAAAATTATGTGGGAATCTTTAAATTTGCACATATGAGACTTTAAAAATATTATTTCTCAGGTCTTCAAATCTGTGCGAATAGGATCCTGTTGTTCCCCAACCCCAGTCAGTAAATTTGTACAGTGAGCCTGCCATTTTTATTTTTTATCATTGAGGTCTGTCCACTATTTATTCCCCTTTAAATATCCTTGTCAGTTTCATCCTCACCAAACACCTCTTGGTTTAACCCAGCAGAGCCATATTTTGCATTTGTCAAAGAACTTGTCCATTTCATCCTCCACTCTGGTAACTATAACAATTTGAGGGACGGAGGGGGAACTAAAGACCAAAACAGTCCTACAATCCCATTTGTGCCAATTGCCATGCTGTTTTATAAAGGCATTAACTGGATTGACTTGCTCCAGATTGGGTTGATACCAGCCTGGGGAAATGGACTGAAATCCAGCAGAACCAAACTGCTAAAATCTGTTCAGATTTCACCCCCGCCCCACCTAAACAAAATTCACCTATATCCCAACCTTCATCTTCATACTGCAGAGCCTTAGGTGTACTGTGACATATTTTTGTCAGAGTATCACACTTCCTAAGTTCTGTTCTTCACCCAGGTTGGTTCAAATGTGCCATTATAGGAGCAGTGGTGTTTTCTAACATGTCAAGACATGCCAGACTAATGATTCTGCAAGTGCAGGAATGGGCAATGAATGGTCCATGACCCACTTGCCTGTTTTTTGTGGCTTTTGTGCCTCTCTGCCAAATTGCTGTGGCAAAGCACGTAATTTTGCAAGGAAGCAGGGAAACGTACACTGTGGTTGGAAGAAGAACTGATCTTGCCAACAGGGCATGCACTCCTTTTGTGCCTTGTGTCCTTACAAAGCCTCGTTGTTGTTGTTATGCTGGCAAATTCAGCATGGTCAAAGAAGCTATAAGTGGGCCATAACATTTGTTTGTTTGTTTGATTCATAGCCCACCTTTCTTCTTCCAAGCAACTCAAGGAGGCTTTCATCATTATCATTCTCCCCTCCTCCTCCTCCTCTCAATCTTATTCTCACAACAACAATCCTTTGTGGTAGGTTGGGCTGAGAGGCTGTGATTGACCCAAAGTCACCCTGTGAGCTTCAGGGCTGAGTAGGGACCAGCACCGGAACACCTGAGTCCCAGTCCCCTGCTCTTCACCACTACCCCACACCATTTCCCTCACATTTGTGGTCAGATTACCACATTCCCTCTTACACTGTTCCCTTCACCCACCTGGACTCAACTTTGTACATTACCTTATCGGAGCAGTAGTGTTTTCCAGCTTCCACCATGATTTGGGTGGATTTAGGTATCGACACCACAATTCCCAGTCAAACCCTTGTGCTGATAGAGGGTACTCTTCTATTTCAAAATTGTCATATTTGATGTTATCAAATGAGGGAGAAATGACCCTTTTTCTGTTTTCCTTGATCCTGGTGAGTACTGGTTCTGCCCTAAGGAATACAATCAAACACATCAGTTTATTCCTTCTCCCTCCCTTTCTTTGACCCACATATATGAGGGAGTGTGTATGAATTGGTTTGGGGCAAATAATTACTCAGCCAGAGCCTTGACTTCAGCCAGTAGTTTATCCTCACAAAGATCTTGAGTGCTTGTACAATCCACAAATGTTCAATTTAGCATACTTCTTTGACACTTTCTTGCCCCCCTGATAAAAGGAATTAGGATTTTCGTTTCAGTGACAACTATCATCTTTCAACATTAGACTAGTGGATGACTCTAGGCTATCAAATGATCAAGGACATCAAGAATATCAGAGTAAATAACAGAACTATTCCAAAAGATATAGTCTTCTATTGAAATGGAAATCAGAAAAGAAAAGGAGGAAGAGGGGAAGCACATACATTAGGATGTCTAAATAGTTGTCCAGGTGAGATGGCCAAATAATTGGAAGTGGTTGTTGGGTACCAATGTAGCTAACTACCTTTGCAACAGCTATTCGATATCAGAGGTCTGGCATTCTTCATAACAGAGACTTAATTATACCTAGTGACAATGCCCCACTAGCAAAGGGATTCCAGTCATTATGCTGCAAACCCCTCCTTTGACTTTGACCTGTATGCCATACACACTGCAGTTCAAGCTATTAATGAAGAGAGGGAATTGCGATGGACCTTGCATCTGGAAGCTCTGAAGTCTCCATCCTGCACAGTGCTAGATCTGAAAATAGGGAGATGGCCGGGATGAAGACTTCTTAAAAGCTGCATTCCTTGCCATGAGTCCTTTTTCCAAAAGCACGAGGGCTAAATTGCCAAAGACTTCCTGTAGATAAACATGTGGAAGCAGCCACTGACATGGTCCACTGCAGTTACCTGAGTCTTTACAGCTAGAAAATGTTGACTCAGAGATCACAGAAAATGTGGCCCGCTGGATTCAGGATAGTGTGCATCACACAGTGGATTCCCTCATGTAAGTGCAAGTGGAGAAACAGTGGCCGCTTCTGCTGAAAACATTTATCGTGAGAACTAATGTTCAGTCATGAGGAAATAGCACTCTAAACTTACCCACACAATGATTGTTTCAGTCAGCTAGACACTGTTAAGGAAAACACTGGCACCGAATACAGTATGTTTCCTCTTCTTTCTTGTTTTTCTGAAACTCCGCTAAAGTCAAAGCCAGTAAAAGCCCTACAGTGATTAGGTGTTTTTGTGCCTATTCCACTCCTTGCTCTACCAATAGGAAGTTGTGCTGATTTCCAGATTTTAATAATTATAGACCTAGCTGCTTTTACCAAATGCATAATAAGTTTTCTAATACAATCATGACCAGAAACTTTCTGCAAGAGGTCCACAGCAGTGTTAAGTAGAACACTCAGGGTTGAGCTCAGGAACCATGGCAGACCCCCATTTGCTCCTTAATGTTCCTCTACAATTTGGGGCTTTGCTTTCACAAATGAAAATATGCATCAATATGTAGTCAGTCCTGGTTTACACAGAGCTTGTTTGCTTGTGTCCTCCTATGAATTGGGCAATTTAAGTTGAGCACAGTTTATCTGCAGCAAGCTAGGCCTTCGATCTTGGAGCCCAGAGGAAGCCTGGTAGGGCTTGCCCTGCAGAGCTGGCTGGCTTTTATCACTGGCTACACAGAATCATGGTTAAACCAAGCTGTTAAGTTGCAAATTCACTTATGTCACCAATATACCATATCCTCATGTAGGTAATCAAATGGGGTCCACCAAATATCTGGACTGAACCACAGTCTGGAGGAAACCAGAGCATAAAAATAATTCGCTTTTACCCCCTATGAAGATCCTTTCTTCACTGTGTTTAATTAAGTTGGATGGTTTTCACGCACCAGGCAAAGCATTTATATCATAGCTCTGAATTCAATTTCAATTTTGATGTAATATTTTCCAAAGGAGTATCCATGATGATTTATTAGTGAAACTACTTTTAAAAATCTGGAGAAGCACATTGCATCTCATTCACTGTTTTCCAACCACCAGTGCAATCTGACACACAGCAATTCAGAAGTAGGCCCCACTGTGTTCAGTGATGTCTACTCCCAGGTGCCTGTGTTCAGAAATCATGCAGAAGATGCAGAATACATACATACCTCCCACAAACATTTTGCCACCCTTCCCTGCACCATGTTCCCCTGCTACAACTGCCAAATCTGCTGCAACAACAGCAAAAATTGCATTGATTTAATGAGGTGTGTGTAGTGTATATACCTTGTTTCCAAGCACAATTACACACCCAGACATTTGTGCTTTCCCTCTCAGTTGATATGATTTTTGCTGCTGCCTACAGCAGAAATTCAGTGGCAAATGTGGCAGCAGCGAGAAATTTGATGGCACTGGGGTGGGGTACAGTTCCCATGAGTTTGAGGAGGGAATAATATGCCCCCCAGAATTTCTGAAGCTGTCCACCCTAGTGTATAGGATTGCAGCCTTAGAAACTCAAAACTGTAATTATATAACTCATAAGGGATGTATGTTCCATATTTACTAGTTTACAATAGAAAGAATGACTATGCATATGTTTTATATCTAGAGATTAATTAGGAACATACACACACACACACACATACACAAAGAAGTAGCATACTGAGGAGTTTGAGAGTGTCCATCTTAGACATTTTGGTCATCATCCAACAATTAACCCTTGACTGTGCCACAGAACTGGAAAATAAAACATTTTCTCCCGAACGGTGCCTGCAAGAGCAAAAATGGGGCATGGATCATCACTTTCCTAGAAGAAGCCTGCTTCCAAATACCCATGTCAGTTGTCATGGATGTTTAAGACTGTCAGCCCTGAAAGCTTTGATTAATGCACTTTTGATTAATGCTCTCAGGGCATCTTCCTGAACTTTGTAAGATCTTCACTATCTAAACAGCGTGCCTAATAATATTTCCATCATGGCATTAAGCTGATGGCTATTTGCGTCCTGCAGAGTATATTAAGAAAAAGAAACTAAGAAACTATAAGAAACTGTGGAGAAAGACATCTGCAGTAGATTCAGGTCAGGCACAAGGATTTCTTCACACTGCACATGTGGAATTAAGGTAGGTTAATTACTGTACCTTCACCAGAACATAGTGATGGTCACCAACTTGACTTGATGATGGTCAAAAGCGTGGGCATTTTTAAAAGGTGTAGGGATGGATGTATCTGCCAGGTTTGCTTTTCTCATGCATTAAATTTCAAATTCTTTCCTTCCTGTGAAAGACTTCACAAATTGTGGGGCATTCTAATCAAAAACGAGCGGAGATGCTCATCCACCAGATGCTTATCACACCAGCCAAATTCAACAGCCATAGCTGTTCCCGGCCTGGAGACCACGATGTACTGGCTCCCTTACAGCTGTTATTAGGTGAGGAAGTGTCAGAAAAAAGCTGGCAGCCCATATAAGCACTAACATGGTTGTATACAGAGGGATTCAAGCTCAGACTTTCGAGAGCTGAGCAGTTCAAGCCCTGGGGCTGGGTGGATAAATCTGTCTGTTTCCATTTCTCCTGCACAGAGATTTTTAAAATCTCAAGTTCTTTGTGTCCTGAATATGGAAAGCTTTGTAAAATTTGTTCATTTCTTATTAAATTGAACTGAACTGAAACTCTCACCAATGCCTGAAGAGAAGTTCATGGAGGATGAGGTTGTCAATGGCTATTAGTCAACATTGTCCCCAGCAGGCCTCTTAATACCAGCTTTTGAGGGGCATGAGCAGGAGGGTGCTGTTGTGCTTGCATCCTGCTTGTGTGCTTCCCATGGGCATCAGATTGGCCACTGTGTGAACAGAATCCTGCACTAGATGAGTCTTTGGTCTGGAGCAGGCCAGGGCTTCTTATGTGCCTTCACCAGTGCTTCTGATGGCCGGCTGATTTCTCCTTGGCACAGCTTGAGAAAGAGCTGAATGAACTGGCCTGGGATGTGCCACTCCTTCTTTGAATAACAGAACCAAACCAAGAGGCACTACAATAGGTTAGGCCCAAGTGGCTCCACACTATTCATTTTTCTGGCCTTTGGGACTTATAGCATGATCGTTGCTATAGACCCAAGGGTCCCAAGAAGTTGTGGTCTCTTTTCTTTTGTCACTGGTCATAGAGGCACTTTTCTTTCTCTGATTTATTTTGCTTCTCCTCTTCTCTTTTCTATTCTCTCTTTATGTCTTTTCCCTCAGATTCTTCTCTCTCTCTCTCTCTCTCTCTCTCTCTCTCTCTCTCTCTCTCACACACACACACACACACACACACACACACACACACACACTTCTTTTCTGATCACATTTTTCCTTTCCTCAGCTTTTTTGACATTTAATAGCCTTTTTATAATTCTAGTAAATACATCAGAATAAATCTCCATAACTGTAATAAAATTATATGAGGCTTAGACAGTCATTTTAAGAAGTGAAGGCTTCGTGCCTCCAGACTCCCAGGCAATGTTAGCTGTGCCTGCTGCCTAGGTGAAGGCCTTCCCCCATGTTCGCTTGACAAACAGTGATTTCTTACCCCTTTATTTGGAATTATGTGCAGGTGAAAATGGATGAGAACGGTAATATTAAGTACAGCAGTTCTCTGAGCCAGTGATGTACATTTATCTGAATTAATGCTATTGGTCCAGCTCTTGACTGGATGCTTCAGCATACCTGCATGTTCCAAACCACTCCTCACTTCAGCTCTTCAAACTGGCTACATCTTTCTGAAGGGCCTGAATGTCACTCATGAATGTGCTGTACACTGAGCTAAGTCCAGGGAAGCCCAAGGGCTTTCATATATTGTTTTTAACTGTCCAATGGTGTGAGCAGTTCCATTAGGCAGTGGTCCTCTAACAGTTCTGGCCAAGTATCTGCATTTATAGAGGTGGCAACAAAGATGGCATATTTCAATGGAGTTTGTGCCAGTACTGCATTTTGAGCATCTGAGTGCCTACTGTCACATATCTTAATTAATTCAACAGTAAATCTTCTGAAGTGAATAGGAAGGAAAGGACAAGAATGATGATGCATTATATCTGTTAAACCCTTGCATGCTATTATACCCTTGAGTGGCTGTAACTTCAGCACCACAGTCCTATTATTCCTGACTATATAACTCCAAGCAATCAGGGATCATGAAGTCAGTTTGATACCTCCTCTTTAATTCAGAGGAGAAATAGGCCTGTTTGTACTCACTCTGAATGGCCAAAAAGCTTTCACTTGTTTTCACACAAGCACACAGGCACATACGCACACAAAATCAATCAACAGCAATGATGTTTTTCAGAACTTGTGAAAGCTTTCCTGAAGAACAACCTATTTTTGCTCCAGTCTAAGTTTTACTTATGTTCCTTAGTCCACTAAAAGCGATGGGCAAACTGATATTGCATTTAATACAAGCATTTTGCCCTTTGGCATTTAAAGCATTTTTATCCACTGTTTCTATGCAATACAGCACTGGAGGATCTCTTTCTAGCATCTCTATAGTATCTTTCAAATAGTGGGGGGGGGGGATCTACAAATGACACCGATTCAGAAGCAGCGAGACACATACCATCCCACGCTGAATTCTACGTGCGCATCAAAGAGTGCAACCACTGGAGCCGTGGCTGCCCTCCAGCCGCTGACGCGTGATCGAATCAGCCCCTCTTGCTTGTTGTGTCGAACCACCTTGATGAACCCAGGCTTCCGTGTGTTCACCTCATCAACATATTCTTTTAGCTTCTCTTTGAGATCTTCTGTAGAAGGAATACAAAGGAAGTGAGGTACATCCATCAAACTTCCAAGATGTACTCATCTATGTAAGATCACAGCCCATTCATACCTAAGGTCTATTGTGCATAAAGACATAAAGGGGGAGATAGCAAGAAGCACTGGAAGAAGCATTTCCCCCTTGAACTAAATAAAAGCCCACAATTCCACTAGAACTGCAGGAGGAGAGCACATTTGAAGACACCACTGCTGACTGATAAATCTGCTATGCTAAAAATCCAGAGATGTGCATAATACCAAGGGTAAATAGGATCTAGATTCCTAATTGGACCCCTGCCTTAAAAAACAAAACAAAACTATAATAATGACTGTGGAAGTTTGGCCATTTGTTTCAGCAGGCTGTGAGCTGCATTCAGTGGGCCTAATGACATATCATAGCAATATTAATGCCCCCATTTGTCAGAGTAAGCACCAGGTAGATATAACATTAAGCAATGACACAAGTGTCCATATACCGTACTCTAAATGTTTGTTTATACTGGAACAGTGTGAATATGTTGTTGCTTAAAAGCTTAACCTTGAAAGAAATTTCCATATCACCAATTTATGACTCTCTCGAGTTCTTAAAGTAAAGACTGTGGTCTTGTTTTTCCTTTGGGTCACAGCAAACAAGCAGACTCCTACTTCCAGTTAAATGGGCCATGTGTGCACAATAACACACAATTCCTGCCTTTCAGAATCAAGCACCAAGGTGAGCGAACAAGAAGATTGCATTTAAACGCTGCACAGGATGATTGGGAGGCAGGCCAGGCCTGAAATTCCAGATACTCAGTTCACAGCCAGTGCACACTGAGTGTCCTTGGAAGGGGCTGTAGCTCAGGGATGGAGTCCTTGACTTTGCATGCAGAAAGTTAAATCCCAACATCACCAGGTAGGTTAGGAAAGAATCGTGTATCAAACCCTGGAGAGCTGCTGCCAGTCAGTGTCAACTATACTCGGCTAGTTGTACCAAGGCTATGACTCTGCACAGGGCAGCTTCCTTTGTTACTATGCTTGCTGAATGTGTGTACCGACTATATAAATATGCTGCTTTGTTGAGAAATATATTCAGAAAGGGATATCAGGCATTAGACAGTTTTAGTGGCTGAAATGTATAGCATCATCACAAGGCAGAAGAGTCACAGGCCATGGCAGAATTGTCAATTTAAATTGGAGGAAAGGAGAAAGCGTGCTTTTAGATGGTGTTCCCAGGTACAAATCATGGTTTAGACTGAGCCTGCACTGCAGCTGGTGGTCAACGGTGTTTGAGAGAAGAAAGCTCAACATGCAAACCTCCTTCTCTTTCAAGAGGACAGCCTTAACCATGTCCTCCACCATGTCCTCCATCACTTTTAGGTGTTGCCAAGCCACAAACATCTTAGCTTGTGAGGAAAAAAGAACAGACAATAGAGGACTTCCTTCTTAATAGAAAATGCCCAAGGATCCTTTGCAGCTGCAGAGGTGATCCGCAGGCCCTCTCCTGTCCGAATGGGATTTCCTTCTCTGTCTATTAGCCCTTCCCCTTTCCCACATATTTTTTGGGCTGGGGAAGAGAAGACGTGGCGGTGGCTAACTTGGCCTTTTTGAGTATTCTTCCAACCCAAACCATTTAATTCAAGCCTTCGGGAAGCCCAAATAATTTTTTGGTTGAGTTATTGAGAACATGTATATTCCTTCTTAGGAGCTGTATAATTCCTTGTTAAACGCACACGCACACACGTTGTTCTATAACTTTCCAAAATGTGCCATAATTACCAGTCCAGTGATCCCCAACAGAAGGCTTTCATTTATACCAACAACCTGATTGTACCTAACAGAATATTTTCTCTTTTGAAAAATGGTGACTTTTGGTTGGTGAGTATGCTTGTCTCAGCATATCCTGATAAAAACTCACCTTTTCTTATACTCTGTGTTGCTCTTACATTGTTTGTAAACTCAGGATATTCCATTCAGGACTTTTAAGGACTTAGCTAGGCACTCAGTCTACCTATACTGAATCACATTCATAATGGGAATTCATTACCGGAAAAACATAGCACACAACCTTGAGGACTTAAAGATCAATACATCTAACAGGCTTATTATTTATTCAGCCTCCATTCAAGGACAGTTTTGTTTGCTACACATGTTCTCTCACTAACTGTATGCTTCCCTTGTATCAATTTGTCTGAAATATCTAAACCAAACCTTTGATAGGTGCAGGCCACCTGAGAGAAAACCAGGGCATGGTGTGTGTGTATTCCAAGGCAATGTATTTTAAGGTAATTCAGCAATTCTTCTTTCTCTTATATCAAATACATCATAGTAAACAGGTCTGCATCTTTAGCATGTGCATCTAATAAATCTAGGCCCACTGAATTCCAAGCATACATTGAAAGCACAGCAGTGGTGGCAAATAGGCTGCTATCCCATGGTGCCCCAGTGCAAGCATTAATGACAGTACATGAGAGCAAACCTGCGAAAATTTCAGTGGCAAATCAATGCCTTATCCCCATCATGCCCATAATGCTGGATAAGCATTGATTTATCCTGATACATCATTAGCCTTAGTGCTGAGAGACCACTGGACCCAGCCTTAGTTTTTTGGACCCAGAAGCATATGGGTACATATACTTCTGGGCCCAAAGCACACATGACCAGAGACAGGGACTGCACTTTCGCCCCACTCACTATAGGCCCTGAGGAAACGACAACACAACATACTACTCAGAAGGCTTCAGCAGTTCACAGTGGCATTGGTTCAGCTGCCTTTCATAGAAGGCAACTATCTATCTATCTATCTATCTATCTATCTATCTATCTATCTATGTAAAGCTTTTATATACTGTCCCATTAGTGGTGCCTCAGGACAGTTTCAGTGTTAGAAAACTGTATGAAAGTAGCCTGGTTCACACATAGCAAGAAACCACCATGGGTGGAGAGATGCACCATAATTTCTTGTTACATGCAGCCACCAGCTTTTTAGGGTTCTGAGTGGTTAGTGACCTGCCAGGTTTGCATGTAAGAAGGACCTACGGTATGCTAAAGTGAAGTCCTGAATATTCAAAATGGCTGCCAACACAACAAAAATGCATGCAGGCAAATTCACCCATGGTGGCTTTTTATTATGTGTTAACTGGCCAGTTCTGGGGTGGGAATTACTAATATGATAATAAACTGGGAATAGTATGCATGACCTGAGACCTCTGACTAACAGGACTCTGTGCACAGGAGCTACCCAGCAAAAGTAGGGCTAAACTCTGCATTTCACGGTTTCAGAGAAGGGGCAGCCCAATTCTCTGGATGGTCAGTAAGAAAGAAGGACTGTGACATTCGATGTGGCTTGCTCCCTAGTACATGAGTTTTAAGATTACAGCATTTCCCAGACTGCTGCCCAGTTCAGTCCAACACATCTTCAGAGCCACAGGTTGGAAAAGGCTGGTGAAAAAAATAGGACGGAATAAAGTTTCATCAAGTGATGAAACTACAGGTGCAAACATATGTCAGCAATACAATCCCAGTTGTCAGAAATGCCACAGTGCCCCATTTTAAAAGATATAACTTCAGCTAGATTCCAATTAAGCTTTATTTCCAATTACTTTAATATACTTCCATTCCCACTGCACAGATTTCTTCACCTTATTGCTTAAAACAAGCACATTTCATAAAAGCTCCCTCCTCCACTCTAAATAGGCTGAGCATTGCACTCTAAATTGCCTTTTCCATGTTCTGGCCAGGGAATGCTGTGGGATACGGGACTACTTTCTGAGCAAGACTGTGCTCCTCTTTTTCCCTGTGGTGCCCTGATCACCATACTGCTTCGGAGGCTTCCAGGACCTTCCAGAATAGATTTGTGGTGTGCAGAAGTGTGTGTGTCAGGGAACAAAAGCAAGGGGGAAGTACCCTGCATGACTGGTGGGATTTATATATTCATTCATTTATTTATAAACTTATCAATTCATTTTCAGCTCTGTTGGCCTGAGGGCTTTCTTTAGGACAGATAAAAGCAACCACTTCTTTACAGAGGGCACAGTTTGGCTACTTCCACAAAATGTAATGATGGCCACCAGCTTGAAAAGACGATTAGCCCATTGACAGAGGAGGAGGTTCTCCGCAGACCCCTCCAGCACCAGAAGCAGCTTGCCTGTGTGCACAGGCTGCCAGGGAGCATGGATTGGAGGTTGCTCCTGCACTCATATCTGCTGGGTACTTTTCCACAGGCTGGCCCCATGTGAACAAAACAAGGAATGAGATGGGCCCTGATCCAGCACAGCTCCCCTTATGTTTATATGAGCGATAAGAACACATAACATCTGCATCTACCCAGCCACTGCAACCAACATCTGAGGTGGTCCTCCAAATGCCATCTCTGAGGGAAGTGTGGCAATGAGGGAAAAGGCCTTCTCAGTGGCAGTTCCCCCCCACCCCCAATCATGGAATGATCCACTAAGGCCCACCCAACACTAACTCAGTCATCTTTTCAGTGCCAAATTCAAACTGCCCTCTTCTCTCAGGCATGATGGGGAATCTTGTTTGTACTAAGAATACACTTAGCTGCGAAACTTTTTTAAAAAAATGTTGTATATCAGAAAAATGTGTGCTGCTTTTTATTGTATTTGTAATGAATTCTTGCAATCCGCTGCGGGTGCTTCAGCTATGAAGCAATATATGAAATGAAACAAATATATGTTGAACGGAGTCCATATTTTGTGATATTCAGATGTGTAGAAACAGAATACCGTTTACCTCAGCAAGTGGGTTGTTCAATTATGTTCACATAATCTCTCCATGAAATGGAGCTCTAGGGCCTTTAGCAAGTTCAAAGCCAACACTTCACCCCACGTCTGTGGGCCAATTTACAAGGGAAATAATTGAGTAGGACAGCATGAAGTTACCATCAATGGATGCCAACCCAATTATGGAACACAGCCCTAAATACAAGTAAGGATAATGCCCTATTTTCCAATACTAGCCAATACTAGCCACTGGAGTGTTTTGCAGCTGTCAA